ACATTCAGTAGACTAAATCTCTCATCATCTGACTTTGAATGTTAAGAGTAACCACACCTTATACTAAGTTTCTTGACATTTAAATAAGAAATCTACACCTTAGACCAAATATCCTACAGTAGCCATGCATTAGGCCTTTAGGTCTCATGACTTTAACCTTGGAAGAGTAAGGATAGTTTTGAACTCTCTGACCTTAAGTCAAAATGAAGTGAAGTTATTTTTATGGGCCCTGACACAGGTGGAAGCTCAGGTCACCCACATCAATGTGCAACATTCCCCCCACCTCTGTGGCAGCATTGCTCATGGATGAGAACATGGCTTCAGGCTGAAGCACAGACCATAGACATCAGTGTGACCTTGGTGCTAGCATGGGTCACAGACATCAACACAGACCTGTCCACAGTAATACTGTTGGGGGTCCATAGTCCTATTGCAGCTGGGGTCTGTGTTAATATCTATGGCCTGTGTTTTCACTGAAGGCCAAACAAATGTCCATAGCCTTCACATCAATATTGATTGTCGCTGGTCCCCTGCTGCACCCGAGGGCTTTGTCTGTGGTCCTGCTGCAAACACAAACCCTGTTTGTGATCTGTGCTGACACCAGAAACCACATGGAGGCCATGATCCATGCTTCTGTGAGCCACAGAGCTTTGGCAGTGATACAATGACTGCAGATGCACAGTTGAGAAAGAAAGACATGGAAGACTTCTGTGGCAACACCCACCTCCATCCCACCCTACCCCCTGAAAAGAAATAGTAACAGTCTAAACAGGAAGCCATGGAAGGGAACTCTTAAAAACTGTATAGTATACTGACGTGTAGCTCTCTACAATAAATGGCTTTCCAGCAGGTGTGTGGGAGGGGAAGGACTCAGTATTTGAGATGCTGGCCACTGGGAGTTTGACCATGCTTCAGTGAATATATAGCTACCACAAATTGGACTTTTTTTGTTGGGAGGACGTCACAAAGGTGGGGGCGATGAGTAGGGAAGTACTGGGAAGCAAATGTGATAGGAATGAATGATGTGAAATACCCAAAGAATTATGCTGAAAAAAGTAAAAAATGAAGCTCAAAAAGTATAGCTTGCATTATACACAATTTGAATAACAAATACTGCACCTAATTTGTAGGTAAAAGTACTGAGTGATTGAAAAGGTATTTTATTTATATTCAGACATAGAGCGGGGCAGTGATAAGGCAAGAATATGACCCAGTTTTCTGGCTGATAAAAGAAAAATTGATCTACAGGTCTACATTTTCTCACCAAATTTAAGTTGTAAGTTTTTCCCCCCTATGGCTATAACGTAGCCTATAATTTGTCACTCAAACATCACTGCCCTACAATTATTATAACGAAGCCTTTCTAATTATCTTATTGCTAGTGTAGTGCATGACAGAGTTGACAAAGCACTGCTCTTATACTCCCTTATTGATGCATGGTAATGATTGGCCACTGAACATGTTTTCAGGCTGCTTTCGTTCCCATCAATATTTGCTGTTCTAAAAACCATTTAGGTTCTTGATTTCTTGAGTGATGCCTTCAAGAAAAAAAAAGTGTCATGTCATTGAGTTAATGGCTCATTTTTCACCATAGCTTTTGTTTGGCATCTATTCCAGAAGTATGCATTTTGTGTTCTTCTTTTCAAAGGTCACTCTCAAAGTAAAACTCTGCAATTTTAGAGATGGTTAGAGCTAACTTTAGCCAAGGGAAAAGAACTCCTGGAAGACTGGATTGGTAGAGCAAAAAGGGTAACTCTAAAAGTTTGATTTGGAAACGTGGCCTTTGTTTGTTGTACTGTATATGTGATCTTGACCATAAACTCAAAACTCCTTGAGGTTTAATCTGTTTTACTAGTGCGACAAAGATGATGATCTTAACTTCACAGTGAGTTTTGTGAAGAAAAGTTTGTAAACCCTCCTTTTCTATCTATTTTGCATTTTACTTTTTGTTTAGTAATATGTTTTAATTTTTTACATAATTTTTCTTTCCTTTCCTGTCTCCAACCTTCCTGCTCCCTCTCCATAACCTTTTCCCTTTCTTTGATATACATATATATCAACACACACACACACACACACACACACACACACACACACACACACACACACACACGTTATACCCAGGTCATGAGAACTCCTTAGCCTTCCAGACAAAAGACTCTCCCAAACTGCAATAAGGAAAGTTCCTTTTTATTACAAGCCTAGGCTTGGACCCTGTCCTGCAAACTGGCACAGAAGCTGTAGGAAAAGGGTGTCTGGCCTCAATTGCAAGGGGTTTATAAAGGAAAAAACTTCAAGCAGGGTTGTACATACCTTGGCTGTTCAGGATTGTGTAAGAGTTGGTGACCTTTGGATTCATTGGCATGGGAGCTAGAGGAATTCCAAAATTGTTACTAACAGTTGCCCACAAGGACAGCTGTGGTGTGAAGATGTTATTTACCAAGGTTAGTCATTGCCTGATCACCTGGATGGGTTAATTTTGACCAGGGTGGGCACAATTTGGGTACTCCTTGGAATTGTTTATGGTTCCTTGGGTGGAGCTGAATCAGCCTTGTGCTACACAGGGAATTTCTCAAGGTGGCGTTTTCTGTTTAACCTTGCTCTTACAATGTATATGTTACATATATCAATAAATATTTAAATATAGCATGTTGAGTCCAGTTTAGTGTTTCTTGTATGTGTATAATTTCAGGGCTGACCAGTATGTATCAGATAACCAATTAGGGGGCACATTCTTAGGAAAGACTATTAGAAAGAATCTACAGAAACTACCAGCTCCACTTCACTCTTATAAACCATCCATGGAGAAGCTACAAGAGGCTTCAAAATTAATCTTCGAACAAGAAAAAGTTTTCACCCCATAACTGTTATATTGTTAAGTATCACTTTTGTGTGTTTCCTTACTGAGAACTGTATTTGATTGTAAAGCATAATCTTGATTAAATGGCTTAAAGACCGAGTCTTCCAGAAAGAGCATTTTAACCCAAATTCACTCCTAGGAAGGTACCTTTTATAGATTCATAATTGGTTGAATGTGGTGCTCTAAATAAATTTCTTTTTCAGGAGTCTGGGCAGGGTCTTTCTTTGTAGCCCCAATTCTCAATCCACCAAGTGCTGAGATTTAAGGTGTGTGGCATAACACATGGCTCTAACTATACTTTTAATTAATCACTCTTCTCTCAAATAGTCATTGACATGACACCTTTCTTCTCTCATCCAAAATGTAGTGGAGGAAGTAGTCTATTGGTTCAATATAGATCATCTTCTCTGAGTCTGTTCACATTGTTTTGGTCTTATTTCAAGACTCTATGTATGTCATTCTATCTAAATCCTGTTAAATGTGAAGTACTATTACTCTTTTATTTAGTTTTGATTCTTTGTGGTGCTAGATCTAACTGAGAGTCTCATTCATCTTAACTGGACATTCTGTTGCCGAGACCCATCCCTAGTGAATAGCATTATTTTACATCCTACTAAGAAATGAAGGAGTTATGACAATTAAAATTATAAGAGGTGACCTGTAGTAGTGCTGCCTTCCTGAAATTCCATTTATTGGGAAAGCTGAAACAGGAAGGATCACTTGAGTGTAGGAGTTTGAGGGCAGCCTGGACAACATAGTTAGATCATGATCTCATTAGATTCATGAAATTTTGCTACATATTTGCCAGTACATAAGCTCTATCTTTCTCTTAATCCTATGTGTTTCATTTATCATATATGCTCATAAAAACTACTACTTGGAATCAAAGTGATGCATTTTTCTATTTGCTACCAACATTTCTAAACTTGTTTCCTTTCTATGGGACCAGCATTATCCTAGCGTGAAGGAGAGTTTTCAAGCGTGCTCTTTGGGAGCAAAATGTAGACCTGCCATGTCTTGTGAATAATGATACTGGCTATTTCCTATGTTTTGGGTTAATCATTACCCTGGCAACAGAGCATATACCAGGTGACTCCAAAAGGACTTAATAAGTTCAATGGTATGGTACCCAAATCATCAACTCTGTGTCACAAGTTAACAAAACATTTTGCTCTTTTTGCTTAGGCATCATTTTCATTCATATCAAAATGAAATTTCACCTTTTAAATCCCAACTATCCAAGTACTTATAAGGCAACATTTTATCTTCAGTGGAAAAATGCATTCTAGTTTTTAAAACTGTTATTTGAGTGGTACTACTGTTTGAAGACATTTTTGCTATGTATTAAACATTTTCACCTTTTGATGTCTGTAGAAATATGGGTGAAATTTAAATTTACATATTATCTTCTCAAGTTCAAATTACTGTGTCAACATATTCTTACATATTTTAGCGTTTGAAATATTTTGTGTTTACAATAAGATATTTTATGCTTGGCACTGAAGGAGATTAGTATTTTATCTTAATAAAGGATACTAATTGAATTTTTATTAAAAAAAAAGGAAATTGATTTTATAGCACTGTCCCTTTTCTTTACTGTCCCACACATCATAGTGTTGGGGAGAAGATAGAAGAATGTCCACTCAGAAACCTGAGGTCAAGCTAGAACCATGCCAGGATGCTACAGGAAGGAGGTGACAACTTAGGAAGTGTGATAGCACCCACATCATTGTACATTTAAAGGAAACTGATGGAGAACTAAATGTCATATAACTTCCGTGGATGCTCTTTCCTCCTTTTCTATTGTTATGTGTCCCTTCCTCCTCATCACTGAAAGGGGAAAATAAAATGCACTGCAGAAGGGCAATGGTCAGAACACACTGTTTTCAAAATTCTTCCATCCAATCAGGAATTATAAAATCACTGCAAAGACCTAAAGGTGAATGCCAGGAATGTGTGAAAGTGGAAGTGAAATTTTCCTTCGCATATTTTTGTGCTGTTGTTATAGCAATTTTCTTTGGATCAAAAGCTTTGAAGATGTACATTTCAGAAGCATTTCCCTGACGATGATTGCTGTCTTAGAATGTCAGTGCAATTTCTTACTATTCTTAAGCTAAATTTACTCTGTTTTCTCTTTCAGGCAAACATCAATATTCCAATGGGAGCCTTTCGCCCAGGAGGTGGGCAGCCCCCTAGAAGAAAAGAGGCTACTCCTGTGGCAGAGGTGAGGAAGAAACCTAACAGAGATAAGCAAGGCCTGTTCCCTCCTGAGTCTTCCTAGAGGCAAGGCTTCTCAGTTAGCAGGGAAATTCTGTGCCTGCTTTCCATTTCAGCCAGGGCTAAGTGTCTGACAAAGTTGCTTGAAGATGCCAAGCTTGACTTCCTCCTACTTGTCAACTGATTTTGTGCACAGGTGCTTTGGGGCTCACACTAGTCACTTGTTCTTCGAGCAGCTTCTGATGGGAGATTAACCTCAATTAGAGCTCAGTAATAAGGGCATTGAATTACTTTCAGATCCAAACAATCATCTTGATCTTCCTTTGAAAGGAAATCTTTCCAAAGGCGTCTTTCTGGTCTTCCTCCCTGTATTTCCCTATTTTTTCCTCCCTGCCCAATTCAAATATCTTGCTAAAATAGAGACAAAAATGAATAAATGCAACAAACAGAAACAAGTGCCTTCCCCGGGTCTATGCATTTATTTGCATGTGATGTCTCTGCTGAAATGTGATAAGTCTGACTCTGAGGAAGGTGGGATTAAGGTTTATAGATCATTTCATTAACACAAAAATCAGGGCATTTTAAAAGGTGAGGATTTTTAAATGACTTTTATATTTGGCCCACTACTTCAAACTTTCCTAAAATGACCTTAGTCCTGGACCTAACCTTTTCATATATGCAATTTCATGTTCATGGAGGCTTTAGCCTCCAACCAAAAGATTTTTTCCTTTGGAGAGGAGGAAATGAAGTATTTGAATAGCATCACCAAATTTTGGAATTTCAGCTACTAATTTTTGTGTCTGCGACTTGGATCAAGTATATGGGTTGTGTTAGCCAAGCAGAATCTCCTCCATCCCGCAGAGTGCTGCTGTCAGGAAGGAATGAATGGAATAAGGGATGTGGTATAGTCTGGTAGGTATTTGATAAATAAGCAGTTCTTCAGAAATTGCCCTGACTAGCCTCTTGCTCTGCAGATTGTAAGAAAGAGGCATGAGGAGTTTACGGGATGGCTACAGGACTCTACCCTCACCTCCCCTTATTTACCATTTTATTTTTCCTTTTTCACTTTCCTCTGAAATTGTGTCTGTCACTAAGACAGCAGATAGAAGGTAGCTTGGTTCTCTTTTCTCATGAAATTGGCTGATATAACAGTGGTGTGGGGCTCACTTCTCTTCCCTCTGTATAGCAGGCAGGCTTGGATTCTTCCCTGTATAACACGAGTATCCTGCTTAGCAGGCTAGGGTAGCACTTTTCTATCACTCGTTTCTTGTCCCTAGTCTGATGATTTGAACATACTGTATAAAACCACCTAGGACATATATCATCAGGTTTGTGACAATATACTTTCTAACCACTCATGTATTCAAATGGCCCATTGATATTCCTCATATAGTAGAGATAATGAGATATCCACAGGGATCCTTAGACCCTAGAAATGTTCTATGCATTATGCCACTCCTTGTTCTTGGGGTTCATTGGGTAGAACAGAGAGCTAAGGCTGGTCCTTACCCCAAACAAACAGATAGGGACTCTTAGGACTTATGTGGTTTGAGGGAGGGAGTGACCTTGTAGTTCAAATGCTGGCTTGGTCCTCAGAATAAATTTTCCAGAGAAACATTACAAGGGGAGTAATTAGGTGGTTTGTCTTAGCTACAAGATGAGTTAAGTAGAATTTGTGTGGGTTGGCTTGAGGCTCTAGCTACCTTCAGTGGTGTAGTTTCAACGAGGAACTTGAATGTGAATTCAGAATAACCTTACATAGCCACATTTATTACTGTAATCCCTATTTACAAACTAAGGATGTGTTGCCAACCTGCATGCTAACAGAATCATAGTATAATGTGTGATTTGTAGCACACCATCATTAACCAGAACAGCTCACCTCCAGCCTAGTCAGTTAGACTCCCAGGTAAACTCAGAAGGCATTTTGATCTTGACATCCTCTAAGAAGGGAACAAATGGATGTATCCCAGCAGATAAAAAGAGCCTGGGTCATTTTCTTTCTGACAAGGTCTTTGAGCACTGACTATCTCTTGTGTACCTGTGGCTTCTGACCAGTCCTTTTCTTTGTCTACAGACATGGAATGTATCTTCCATACTTATTAGACATAGACATGTACAGGACATAGGGCTCTTCCATCCAATTTCTTTTGCATAAGAAAAACAGCTGTTTATTTCAAGTCATCTGAGGATACTAATGAGCCATTTTTGAGTCTCCAAATCACTCTTTAACTGAAATATCATTATCCTTATTATGCTACATAATAGTACATTGGGACTTTCTCTTAAATATTTCCTTTCATTTGGTCCCTTCACAAGATACAAACATATTATTTAATTCTAATCCAGTTACTTCTTGTAAGGCTTTGGGAAAATTTTTATTTTTATTTTATTTTTTTGCTTTTCCATACATTAGCCTAACTGGTAAGGTAGGAATAAAAGCAGATGTACAGACTTGGTATGAGGATGAAATGACTTAGCACGTGTACCTTAGGACAGCTAGTAGTGTTGGCTGATATCAGTGAGTTTTTACTTTTGAACAGGAATGAGTAGGTCAAAGTCTGTTGCCTCATGTAAGAGCCTAGGGAAAAACTCAGTAGGGTATCTGGTAGTAAAGGAGGGCATGCAATTGGGGTAGCTTGGAAATGCTTCACCATTCTGAAAAGTTTGGCAAATCCTCTGTGATTCCCAAGGCAGGCATTTCCCTTCACAGAGCTGTCACTGAAGTGGAGAATGATGTTGGTAAGTTTTCCCTCACACTGTCTTCATGTACACTGAAGAATAAATAGCCTCTAGTACCCTGCTGAATTGAGATAGCTGTAAAAAGGGATACCCTCCATTAGTCAAGTAGAACCTTCTTTATTCATGCTTTAGTTTACTGTAATTCTTATAATAGTAAATTCGCGGAAGCAGAGAAATGTGATTTTCATTATGTTTATAAAAAGTGGTGGAATGTCAGTGTAAAAATGTGTCCTGCTTCCTGAACAATACCATACTGTCAATTAGTACATATAGTGACAATCTCCATTATATGCCACCTTGATTAATCAAATGCCAAGCCTTATCTTGATTAAAAACTGAAAAAACAGTCAATTGAGACATTAATAATGTGATAGGAAGATGTGTAACATTAAATACTACCATTATTAATCTGTATAAGTTCACTTTATAAATCTGCCCCAGACTCTTCAGTGTAGATATTGGCTGTATGTGTTAAATGTGCCAGCATGGAGGTGACTCACCTGGGAACTTAGCAGAAGGATCTGGAAACATTTTTCTCTTTATGCTTCTTTATTGAGATCTACCCACCTCCAACTGTGGAAGCATTTATAAGTGCTGAAACATTTTTCATTTCATTGCTACACCTATTTAAGAAGAAGCAACACTTTACAGCCTTGTTAAAAATTCCTTCCTGAAAGCCCAGCAAAGAACATTCTGGAATACCTGGTTCTTCAAGTTGGTGTTTTACAGTTTTAACAACCTTTTCTGTATCTATGCTTACAAATGATGAATATGTTTGCATGGAGAAAAGAAGCCAGGTTTCGGGCTCTGTACATGGACCTAAGCGAAAAATATCTTCCAGAGATTTGCAATAGATACATCCTCATTGAGTTACTTTATCATTTGGTGTGGGTAACATATTAGCAATTCAATCATCACTGTGCCAGTTTTACAGAAAATAACTATAGGAAGTCCCATTAGCCATTACAAGAGGAATAACACCTCAGTCTTTTATGCTTACTCATCCTCCCTAATAAACAACTTAAAAACAGTTCTATAAAGGACACATCTACCTAGTGATTTGTCAGAGTTTGGAGAAGCTTGAACACATTCTTCCTCTAAGTGCTAACCAATTTGAGAATGAGACACAGGTAGGCACAGGACTTGGACTCACAGCACTAGTTTTAGCACTGTCCTTCACAGGAGGCAAATGTGGAGTGTCTCATCCCTGACAAATGCATGCACATAGTAGGCACATGCACAACAGGCATACACACACACACACACACACACACACAAATTTACCCAGTTCTTGGTTAAGCAGACAGAGCTATAAGAGTTCTGCACTGGGAACTATGTTCTAAGAAACAGACATTTAAGGGGCAGAGCATTTATTGGGGGGAAACACTTGTAAGAAAGGATGGGAGAAAGCTATAGAAGAGTTAATGAGACCCAGATGCAGGGGAAGAAGAGGGAGGGGCTTAGTGGAAGAAACACAGACCTCAGCATGGCTCTAAGCTCAACTCTCCAGCTTAAGTTTTTCATGGGAGGAGTCCCTGCCTACCAGGTATGGGGTCACCTTGAGGATGCTGCTGTACTCAAGTCATTTGCTAACATGGCATATGGTAAGCATGACCACTGCATGGTGATGAATAGATTTTAGTGACAAGGAGTTAGGGCAGTCACTAAGTTACCCCTGAAGTAATCTGATCCAAAGATTGATATCCTGGCTGTTAGGGTGATCAAATGTCCTCCAATATCTCCCTTTCAGGCAAATAGGAATAACAGACTAGCATGTAATTTTCTTCTCTAGTAACTAGATGGAGCTGTACACAGCAACTGATTTTAATGTTTTATAGTCCTTTTCTATACATGCTTGGTGCATGCACATAGAGGTGTGGGTTGATATGGGATTAGCTAGTTAAACGAAAATCATCCATTATACATTCGAGCCTCTGTCATCAGGCACTAGAGAAGCCACACAAAAAGAAAAGGCTGTGTGTCCCTCCCTAAAGTTGAGATTCTTTTAATGACAAGAAATTTAAACTACTCAAAGCAGCAGGCAAAAGTTGGCCTCTCTCATTCCCTCTCTTATTCAAAGGTGTTTTCCTATGTCCTTCTGAGTTTGTTTATGTTTCCCCAAAGAGCCATAGAACAAAAGGCTCATAGCCACCATACTCTGAACAAATTTTTGCAAGCAAGCTCCTGAACTAATTAAGGCTAACTGAGCACTGACGTTTTACAGATTTCTGCCATCAGGTATCTGATAATGGTATGGTATTAAGTCAGAGTCATTTTTAGAATGTTCTTTTGTGAGAAACACAACTCCTTTTAACCGTTGGCAGTACTTTTTAGTTACCACACTGAACTGTTGTCTAATGTGTCCTAAGTCTTATGGAAAGGACTTTCCCCCTTACAACATTATTTTACATTCCTGTACAAATTTCAGGGAATTTTGTTGAAACTCTAGGGGTATCTGAACAGGAATACAGGAGAAAGTCATTAGGCTAGAATTGTATTTTGACTTTTCTTCCTTTGATATTTTTTTCATGATAGAGTTTTCATGCTCTATTCTATGAACAAGAGAGAAGGAACAATCTTGTTTTTGGTGAGTTGAATTTCTCCCCGTTTCTTTTTAGGGGGCTCCTTCCACTTCGGAGGAAGAGAAGAAACCAATTCCTGGAGCTAAGAAACTCCCAGGACCTGCTGTCAACCTCCTGGAGATCCAGAACGTTAAAAGTGAACTGAAATATGTTCCCAAAACTGAACAGTAGTTCAGTGGAGAACAAAGGTGAGTGGAAAAGCAGTCTCTTTGTCTGAAAAAGACCATCATCAAAAGGAAGCTTTCCACAGGAGGAGTTTACCAGGAAAGTTCAATTTAGATAGTATGTTTTCAGGGAAAGCCACACCTTCAGGTTTATCTTATTCCACAACTGTTTGGAGAACTGGTGAGGCTCCTTGCTTATTGGTCCCTTTCTGATCATTCTTCTAGTAGGGAAGGATGCCATATGCCATAAAGAACAGTGAACAATTGTTCTGGCAATAGGATCTGACAAACAAGTAGCTGTGTAGATTTGGAAGTGAAAGGAAGAAGTACTCCATGCATTTATGCCACATAAAATAAAATAAAATAAAATAAAATAAAATAAAATAGAGGACACCAAAATAGGAACAAGGCAGACCATGAAGCCTTGGGTCTGATGGAAAAAGAGTAGGTGTGGGTATAAATGGAAAAAGAGTAGGTTTGAAACTGTGCAGGTTGCTCCAACAAGGAACAAGGTACATAAAATACTTATTTTCATTTTAATTGTTCAGTAATGATCCCCTGGTAAGAACTCAGCCAACTCTCTGTCTGCAGATCTGGTTCCTAATAACTGGAATAGAAATTCTGCCAACAGACAGTATGGGTTCACCAAGTCATGGTTCTTTCCCTTAGGAGACACTAGGAGCAAATCTGTCCTTTACCAGCATTACCAAACTCTACCAATCACCGTCTTCTCCATCCCTTAAACAGAAGTCTAGAGGAAAATCTACACGGGAACCTGCAATACAGTTTTTATCTCATTGCTTGTCTATTCATTTGTCCCTCCATGCATGTAATATTTATTTATGGCTGGCAGAACTATTTATCACTTGCCACTGTGTGAAGAGCATTATATCCACTTTTGTTTCCAGCTGAAGCTGGGCTGGAACTCTCTGCAATGTAGGCCAGCCCCAAACTTATGGCAATCTTCCCACCTCAGCCTCACTAGTACTGGGATTAGAGGCATGGGCCAGTATGCTTGGCTCCATGGTCTCTTATAAGCTCCATAATAATCAATTATCACCTCATTCTTGGAATGAGTCTTAGGGAGACTGATTCACATCTCACCACATCGTACAAATTGATAGCACATACCCTCCTTGCACTGGAGATGAATATTGACTTTATAGATAGCAACAACAGAATGTTTGTGAGACAGACCAGTGGGTTATCATGATGCCATTTATGTTGTTCTTATCTAGACCTTCTAAAGATATTTTCAAACTAGTTCAGTTGAAAAGATTTCCTAGAGGAAAAGAGGAGCTGGCTGCTCTCCCTCCTTCCCTGCCTTCCTCTCTCACTTCCCCTTTCTCCATTCCCCCTCCTCCATTTTTAAGGCAGATTTTGACTATATTTCTCAGATTGGCCTCAAAGTTATTATCCTCATGCCTCATCCTCTCAAGCTCTGGGATGGGAGGAATGTACCATGATGCTTGTCTTAAGAATCTGTTTTGAGTTAAAGGAAAATAACAACATGTAGTGTTTTTAGCACAATTACATAAGTGACAGAAGGAGTGAGAATGAAACAAATTATATTTCATGATCACAGAATAAAGCTCAGGGACCTGGATGGGTACAAAGCTACCTGAGTGGGAATTAATCTGGCCAATAAATGCATGAACTTGTTTTTTATAAAACAGAACGAACTCATGACTGACTATCAGGCTCAGTTCTGTTTGAGTTGTCAAACTGTGGAATTTCTTGTTGAGAAAGACCAGAGGAGCGATATGAATTTTTGTAATATTTATTATCATCACCCAACAAAAACTGTTTAGTTATACACATGAACGTGTGTGTGTGTGTGTGTGTGTGTGTGTGTATGTGTGTGTGTGTTATGCATACATGTGTGTCGATACAAGTGAGTGTTTGTGCATGTGAATTTCAGGGACAGATATGTGGTGTCTTCTTTAATTGCTCTTCACCTTATTTATTCATTCATTTATTTGTTTGAGATAGAGTCTCTCACTGAACTTGGAGCTCACCAATTTGACTAGACAGCCTGGCCAGAAATCCCAAGGGATCCACTTGTTTTCACCCTTTCCCCCTGTACTGGGGTTATTGTACAGGTGTACAGCAGCTCTATGGTCAGCTTTTATATGGGTGCTGAGGATCTACACTTAGCTCTTCATGCTCCTGTAGCAAGCACTTTATCCACTGATCATCTCTCTAGTCCCTAGAATCATGTGTGGGAGGAGGCGGGGGGGGGCAGAGATCAAGACAGGGTACCTTCCTCTATGGATCTTTACTTGTGAGGTTTTAAAACTTTCATTTATTTATTAGTGCTGTGTGTATGTATGTGAACACCCATATGCATGTCATGGTGTGTGTGTAGATTACAGAAGAACTTTGTGGAATTGGTTTTCTCCACCTTTATATGGGTTCCAGGAATAAATTTTGAGTTATGTGGCTAATGCCTTTACCCACTTAAGTATCTTACAGAACAATCTGCCATTTTCCCCACTAAATTTTTTGGTTTTTTTCCACAATTTCATATATATACACTATGTATTTTGAGCCTTCTTCTCACATCCTCTCCCTTTTCCTTGCCAGCCCAACCAGCCCTTTCTCTTCCCTATAAATCTCTTACCCGTATTTCTTAGTTTTGATTTTGTTTGGTGTCCCAGAGTTTAATCAGGACCTTCTTGTGATCCTGAGTTTGAAACTATGACCTGGTGTGCTCCCATGAACTTATAACTTGATACCATGTTTGACCCACTCCCAGACTCTGTCATTTGCCTGCTGATCAGCTGTATGTGATAAGGACCACCATGTTCCTTCCTCCTCTACAGCTGACTTTAACAGAGCCTGACTTTTGTAGACCTGGTACCAGTATGCACAGCTGATGTGAGTTTATTGGAGCCATTTCTGTATCCTGCTTTGAAGATGGTATTTCACAGTCCTCTTCCTCATCCTCAAGCACTTACATTCTCTCCAGCCCATTTTCTGTAGTATTCACCGAGCCTTAAGGTGTAAACCTTAATTGGCTCTTAGAGCTCAACTATTCTTTATTGTCAACATTTTGTGCAGTCATTTACTGTAAGTTTCACTGTTTAAAGCTGAAAATAGCCTTTATTTATGGGTAAGCATAGATATTTAGGAGGTGGTTTGTTGCTATGTCAATTCAGCTAATCAACCACTTTAGCCTTCACTACCACCACTAAAGGATATAAGACCTCTTCTGTCATGTTTTTGGACCAGGTTTACATTATTAAGCATGGAAAGCCTCAAATAGGAAGTGGTTGGTTCACCCCCCTAACAATTGAGTCATTACATAAATGGGCATTTTTTTTTTTTTGGCCTGGCATTATAATTTGTAAAGTTCACAAATGGGTTAGATCTCTTATGTCTTTACTTTATAACATCCTTCATGGTGCCATCTGGTACCATAAGAGCAGACCCATCAGGCAGGAAATTAGTTCAAGCTTGATTTCTTTGTGTTGCACCTCACCTTTTTTTTTAGTTGCAATTAACATAGTCTTTATTTATTGTAAACTTTTCACCAAGTCTATTAAAGAACATTTACCAAGTATATTAAAGAAGGTTTGCTAGTAGGCAGGCATGTTATGCTTATTAGCTAAATCTTGGGTAGTATCTCCCTGTTATAAAAATTAAATAACCAAGATCCACCTTGTTTTTTGATCCTCACTGAATCTGAAACTCATCATTTTGATAGACTGGACAGTCATTGAGCCCATGGGATCCACCTGTCTGTACCAAACTCAGTGCTGGGGTTATAGGCACATGCCTCCATGTCTGATTTTTCTGTGGGTAGACCTGTACTCATGTTGGGTATCAGACCAGACAATAGCAAAACAGACATAGCACATATCATGTCTAAACCAAGAGATGTGGGGACATCTCTTAGAGGGGTCCCAAGCCAAAGTGGGGCATAGGATTGGACAGGGAAGTAGGGTATTCAGCCATCTCACTTTAAGTGTTCTTTTGGATGAGACTGAAGGTAGCCAGCTGTTAACTTAAGTCACTTTGTTTTTGTTTGTTTGTTCTGTTTTTTTTAAGACAGGGTTTCTTCCTGTAGCCTTAGGTGTCCTGGAATTCATTCTGTAGACCAGGCTGACCTTGAACTCACAGAGATCTGCCTGCCTCTGCCTCCCAAGTGCTGGGATTAAAGGCGTACACTACCACAAGCCAGCATTTGTTAATTTAAGAAAGCCCAAGAGCCAGATAAAGAGACAGGACTGGCAGAAATGTGTGAAAATCATGTGTTTTCTGATATCCTCATGCCCATTTGTTGTTGCTGCATTATTGGGAATCGCACAGAACTACCAATCATCTGGGGAACCTGAAAAGTTACTTGGGTTTGGAGTTCAAATAGATTCTGTTCATGTCTCTCCTAACTTTCCTGTCAGACTACAGGTATTTACTAAAGAACTCATAACTAGCTTGAGGAACTTGTACACTTTCTCCTCTCTGTACTAAGATGTACAGATAGAAAGTTTGGCCATTGATGTCAGAATAGCTAAGTAGTGGTAGAATAGCTAAGTCATCACAGGGTCATGAGTTAGCTGGTTTATTTTGAAGATAATTTGATGGCTGCTTCGACCCACTAAGTAGACAAAAGACATGCTCGGTAGTATTACTTTGGAACAGGAAACAAACAGGGATAGGGACAATTTTAGGACAGTGGGAAGGGATAGTCTCTAGACATATGGGATCTACAGGACCTTGTTAATAAGCTAGCTTGTTAGGACAAACTGTTCCTTTAATGCCATACTGCAAAATCTTTTAGGGCAGAGCAAAACAAGACCCTACAACTTGTTTATAATATCTATTTTTCCCATGGTAAAAGAGCTCACTGCTAACAAAACATTAGAGAGGAACAATGGAAGTATTAAGGTGGCAACACTGCAGCAATTACAAGAAAAGAAATGATTAACAGGGGTAAAACCTAAGAATTCTACAATTATGTAAATGAACAGCAAGATAGAAGCAATTGAAATCCCTTGGACTGATGAAGCTCTAGA